TTTTTTACTGTGTCTGTGAACAATGACGACCAAAAATTACATTTTTCAAGAATGGTCTTAGGATATTTGAGGATCACAGAACATGATCAGAGTAATGGATTCCTGGAGCTTGGATTTATGTAAAGTGAGGAGAGATAGAAGAGATGTCAAAGAGATGAGGCAACCTTTCCCTGTTTTGTCTCTCACAATGAGTTTTGCAGCTTCAAAGGTCGACCATTAATGTGTGTGTGTGTCTGTGTGTGTGTTGCCTTTACATTCCTTCACCTGTCACCTGTGCAACTCACTCATTATCTCTATGGCAACGTCCCTCATCACAGAGGACGGGTTGGTTCCTCGTAGCCTCGTCTCTGCAGAACACAGATAAAACTCATCGTAGCAAACGTTCCTTATTTATTTATTCATTGTCTGAAATTTAAAAATAAAATCTGACGCTGTTTCAGACTCACAGCAGCGTGCAGATGTTTTCTAATATTAATAACCCTCTGACATAATCCTGTCCCATCCTAATGCAGGCCTGACGTCTCCTGTGCTTTTAGAGCCTGCTCTCTGCGGAGCACGTGACTGCAGCTGTTGCCCCAAACCATCGCACATTTGATGAGAGGGAGAAAACAAAGGAGGGGGAAAGAGTGAAGAGGTGGCGCGTCCAAAAAACCCATCACTTTACAGGCTCTTATTTTGAAATCACAGCGAGATTGAAAGATGACTTTCAACATTTCCAAGACCTTCCAGTGTCACAGCCTCCAGGCATAGGGGGCGCTCCTGAGGTAGTCCAGGAAGAATGGGGGTCTATCGAGCTGTAGCTGCAAAACTTAACGTTCGTGCTAAATGTCTCTTGTTTTTGATTAAGTGGAGGAAACAATAGATATAGTTTCATTTCCATTTGTTTGTTAGTTTGAAAACAAGATTACACAAAAGATTCTGTGGACGGGTTTTCACAGAGGATACTGTTGATTTAAATTAATTCTGTTTCATAAATTACACAAGGCTGCAAAGATGTTCTGTTTCCAACAACAGAAAATAAAAACATCAACACCTTTTGGGGAAATTCATTCATTAGTCTTTTTTTTTAATACGATTTTTCTTCCAATTCCATCACAGTTTGATTTGGAGGTTTTATATCTTTCTAAAAATCCCTGTATGTTATGGAAATATATAGAGAAAAGGTTATATTCCCTGTAGACAAGAACATATACAGACTATATATACGACACTTGCATGAAGTGGCTCAGGAAGGTTTTCTCTTTGTTGCGGCCTCATTATGTTTGCTCTACTTCTTCACAAGGTTTATTTGATCATTTAACTACGACTCGTATGCAAAACATCCTCACTGGTTAAAATGCAGTCGAGAATAATTTGCTTTGAAATAAAAGAAACCAAAAAAAAAAAAAAGTGTTGTACAGTTAGACGATAGAAACGCTGCCGCCAAGTAACAATGAGCTCGAATTAAACCTAATTAATTTCTCCGCTGGGGTCGACGTGACATTCAGCTGGACTCCAGGGGGCATCTGCTACTGAAACTTTTAACAGTGGAATCATGGGAAGTCGGACAACCCAGAGAGAGAGAGTGAGAGAGAGAGAATGAGAGAGAGAGAGAGATGTGAAACATCAGGAACATGTGATGTATGTGATGATGGCAGAGAAATAGAATCACACTTTACGTCTTACAGAATGTGCTCGATGAATTCTGCAGAAAGACTTTTCCCGGCCATAAGAAGCAACTTGTTTACAAATGGAATCCGCCGTTGTTGTCACCTGACGTCCATCTTTTTTAATAATGTTCCTTTTAAAAATCACTGGAAAATATTTACCTGATTGAGGAAATGATTCTCAGTCAGCGTCTCATGGTTCAGTCACCTGTCGTCACCGGCTGCCATTAAAACCTCATCATCTGAAAAACACACAGACAGACGGAGGCAAGAAAGGTCAAGAGACAGAGGGTGGCAGGAAGCTGGTGTCACTCACACACACACACACACACACACACACACACACACACACACACAGTCACACAGTTCATACATATATGCACATACAGACATGAAGTAAACACATGTAAAAGCTTGGCCTCGTCATTTCAGATAAATATATACACATGTGCACATAGATGGAAACAAACGTTTTAACCCGTGTGAAAAATGTTCATGCACCCACAGATACACAAACACATGTATGTAGAAATGAAAAACGTCAATCAAAATCATTCACAAACCTACACACACACACACACACAAAGCTCTGGGGATTACCCCTGTCAGTTCTGTGAACCCACTTCAATGTCTTGCTGAGACACTATGGATATTTTATAGGTCTCCACACAATGTATTGAATCTTTTATGAGGTTATATCTCATTGTGTGTGTGTGTGTGTGTGTGTGTGTGTGTGTGTGTGTGTGTGTGTGTGTGTGTGTGTGTGTGTGTGTGTGCCCCCCCCCCCACACGAAAACCAGGTTAGCTCCCTAACTTCACCCAGATGTTGTGGACGGAGGACGACTTTACGTTCTGTGATTGAATCGGTTCAGGTCCCGACTTCACTGAAATGATTGTTTAATTCGTCTGTTACTCGTAAAATGTCCTTTACTGCTGCGTCCGTATCGTCCGGTTGTGATGTGGAGGAGAGTCTCACACCTTTAGACCACATGTCTGGCATTTTAGCTCCAAATGACGTATTCAGATAGTTTGAATCCAAGATTTTTTTGGTCTAAGTTTTGGACAGTGGGAAGAAGTGAAGACAAGTTGTCGATCTTAGTTTACGGTCTATGCTTTAAGATTGTCTTTTTGAAAATAGTAATAATAACTTTATTTATACAGCACCTTTCAAAGCACACATTTCACAAAGAGGACACATGAAAATAAATGACGACAAATGGTGCAGTGCAAAATCTAAAATCAAAGACAAAACAATACAACATCGTTACGAAGCAGTGACAAAAATGAACAGACGAACATTTGAGCAACCTGCTCGACACACGGCATCAAACCTGTGATTTGTCCTCACACTGAGACATTGTTTTATTGTAAAGGGATAAATAAATAAGTGAAATATGTTTGAAACCGCAGCAGCAGCTCATGAACTGAGCTCCTTCTTATTTTCCTGCTTCATAATTATCACCTCTGCACCACACTGAGGATTTAACAGCAGACTGTAATTATAGACCACCGGTAAAGAGGTGTGTGGGGGGGGGCTATAGCCTGTATATATGGCATGTTGTAGAATTGCAGGCTGTGATATGACGCCACCTCATGGTACATATGCGGTATAACAGCAGAGGCCTGAAAACACTTTTTAATTCAATTGAATCTTTTCAGTTTCAACACGTGAGTCTTGATAAACAGTCTGTGGCAGTGTTCTCTTTCATCGTTTACAATATGTTCATTAGATTGGGACATGTTTAGTGTTTTTATTTGTTTTAATATTGTTTTTTTTATGTAATTTTTCCTTGTGCGTTGTTTATATGTCAGACACTCTGCAGGTTTTCTCTGCTTACAGTGGTTTTACTATAGAAGTTCACCAACATTACCAACATTTAAAGCAGAAAGGTTAGAGCTTTATTGTCCCCTGATGAGAAATTCACAGACAACACGAAGACAATATTCCCATTTATACATTACAACAACAACAAGAGAGGAAGTATTTATATAATTACATCCTGATACACAAAGAAAAGATTCAAATCCAGCTTTATCCGTCATCTTCATGATACACGATACAGGACATGAGGGAAATACTGTGCTCCACAGATCAGAGTCGCATTTAAAAACAACAGAAGACACATCTGTGTCACATATAAAACATAAAAAGAGAGCAGCTTTAAAAACCTAGCAGGCAGTCGAACGTTTAAATTGTAATTCAGTTTGTGTGTGTCTGTCAGTGGAGCTGAGGGGCAAAAACAAACAAATGGAGAATCACAAAACACAACGACAAAAAGGGAAGAGCAACGACACAAACGACTATTTACAAGAGAAACATACAAACAGAGCAGCCTGGTCATTTAGTCACACATGAGTCTAGACCACAACACAACAGACATGTTATTATATAATATCATCACAACCTCCCAAAGTGACAGTTACTGTGTCTTCAGACTGAAAAATGCAGGTTAGGCTGCAGGACGTTTGATAAGTCTGAACGGGGCCGTGTCTCTTCTCAGAGTCCTGCTGATCCAGGGCTGTATTAATATTCTGACTGAGTCCCGTCCAAACGTTACCACTGGCATCATGGGTAATGTGTGGTTTGCAGTTGGAGCCACCTGGGCCTGTTTCCTTTGCTTTGTTATGACAGACGACATCTGGCTGTCGGCTTTAAACGCTGCAGTGGATCTGCTGCAGACAGAGAATAACATCTACATGAGAATAACACGATGGAAACCGAGGATGAGATACTAACATGTGATTTAACTCATTGTCCTCTTAAATCTTCTATAATATGGGTTTTAACTAGATTTCTTATGTCTGTGTATGTAATTCATCTGTTTCTATGATTGTGAACTAGTTTTTGAAAAGTGCTATATAAATAAAGTTTATTATTATTATTACAAAAAACAAATAAGAAAACATATTCCGTCAAAAATATTAGTTCTTTCAACATTATATTATATTTGTAACAAAAGTTATCAAGAAAGCACAATTACACAGTATGAACTTATTGAGCAATATTTATGCTGATGATGGATATTGATTAATGTGTAATTAATTTGTTGTGATATTTAAATTGAAAAGGACATGTGATATAAGACTATTCTTATTCCTGTTAGTTTTCCTCTTGGATTAAAATGAACTGAGAAACTAAACTTTACTTCATATCATAACTTTTTATTGAACAGCTTCTTCTCCGTGGGAGAACTGAGGACGTGTCAGTGCAGCATCTGGAGACTATTACAAAATAAAACTGCTGGATGAACCAGTCTCTCTCTCCCTCTCTCTGTTTTTCTCTCTTCCTCCCTCTCTCTCTCTCTCTCCCCCCTCCCATCTATGGGTTTTCCCTCTCATACCTCAAATGCACAGATGGGAAGGGTGGGCGAGAAACATCCAGAGAGACTGAGAGTGTGGTAGAGAGAGAGAGAGAGAGAGAGAGAGGGGCTTGTGGGTGAGGCTCACTTGGATCCAAAAACTCCCTGGAGCAGCGAGCGATGAGAGAAACGAGGCACAAAGTTGTGGAGCTGCAACTGAAACAGGAGTGAAACACTGGTGGGAAACATCAGGAGGAAAAGTTACAGGATCATCTCTCATCAACACAAGTTGGGAACTGAGACGACAAATGGATGACTCTCTCTTCTCTCTGTCTTCGAGGACTGTTTGAGTGGGTTGGACGCCGCAGTGCTGAAGAAACACAGAGTCCCGTTATCACAGACTGAAGAGTTCATCATCATGTCAGGCAGACTGGTTCCTGTCCTTCTCCTCTCGTTCAGTCTGACGCTGGGTTCGGTCCAGAGTCAGGGTTCCTCCCAGGACGCCTTCATAATCCAGTATCTGGAGAGGAGGCTGGCTCAGATGGAGGTAGGCAGTGGTGGAGGAAGTACTCAAACATTTTTATCAAGTAAAAGTACAAATAAATAGAGACAAGTGTACTCAAGTAAACGTGAAATGACCAAGTTAACTGTTCCGCTTGAGTAGAAGTACTAGCTTTTGAATATATACTTTAATGGGATAAAAGTAGAAGTACTTTTCGAGTGTAACCTATTGCGTAATAAAGAAAGTCTGCTGCATCATTGTGAGTCTCGGCCTCTTCTGATTCCAGCTCAGGTGTTTGTTCTTCACCAGTGATGTAGCTGCTGCAGGAGGCGGGGTCTAATGTTACCTGCCCGCTCTGATTGGATCAGCGGGTTATTAATTACAATAAACGTTACATGCAATGCTTTTTACAAATGTAGAGGAGTACAGTGTACAGGTAGTTGCTGATATATGTGCTGGAGTAAAAGTGAAATGTGCCTGAAAATAATTAAGTATTGTACAAATACATAAAAGATGTACTTCCGCACAGTAATGAAGTAAATGAAGTTTGTTACATCCCACCACTGCAGCTGTTACACTTCCACATGACGTTATATATCCACCAGGATGAAATGTATTATCAAGTGATTTGCAACGTTAAGAGGGAGAATGTGTAGTTTTATTTGACAAAAGTTACATAATCGAGGATTTCTTTTTTTTGTGTGTTAATGAAATCAGGAGCGTCTGAATCAATGTGAGCAAAGCACGATGAGCGTCACCCAGAAGACCTACGACCTCTCCTCTGACATCAGAGGTTATCTGTCCTCTCTCAGTGTTCTGAGGTACACGACTGTTTAAAATACCACTTGACAAAATGAAAGATCCACAGCTGTACATGAAATGAAATGGTGTTTGGCTCCGCAGGTCGGAGGTGAAGAGTCAGGTGGACAGCGTGTCCGTGCGTGTGGACCGGATGGAGAGAGAGTTGGAGTATCTGGAAAACAAGATCCCCACCCAGAGCGACATCGAGATGGAGGAGGCGCTGCTGGAACAACAGATCAAAGCTGCAGAGCTGGACCAGTTAAAGAAGAAAGCAAAGATCAAAGTGGAGAATGGTAGGAAGGAAGGAGGGAAGGAAGGAAGGAGGCTACACGAGGAGGCTGAGTGGGTGGAACTGATAATGATTATAGCATCTAGTGTAGTGGTTTAAGAAGCAGAGGAGAGGAAAAGTGAAATGACAGAATCCAAGTCAGAACTATAGGATGAATATCTGTCCTCTAAATATGTTCAATTTTTACATCAAGATCCAGTAAATCGTTCTCTGAGAAAGTGGTGGATGTGTTCCAAAACACCCAGAATAGTTTTTGTGGGTGTTTCCTTGCAGAGTCAACTGATGACCTCATACACCAGTCACAACATCAGAGGGGAGAGCACACCCCAACGCTAACTGCCATTTTCACTATGTTAAAGAAAGAGAGCAATTCATGGATCCGCCCCCAAAACTCAGCGGGTTCTCTCTTGTTCCGTGTTCCAGTCTTTCACCAAGTTTCATGGAAATCTGTTTTTGTATTTTTGTGTAATCCTGCTGACAAACAAACTGGAGCTCTTACCGCTGCCAAGGCCCAGAAGTCTCCTTGAATCTTAAAATCAATAAATCAAATTCTACACACTCGTAGATATCAGTCCTCTAAATACGCCAGATTATTTTCATCAAGATCCATGAAGTCCATGAAGTGTGTCGTATCAGGATGTTAAAGAAAGAGATAAAAATAAAAAAATCCTTATCTTGCTGCACAAACAAAAACACAGATGAAAACATAACTTCCTTGGCGGAGGTTAAAATTAAATATGTAGGATTTCGTGCTACAGTTCAATAAAACCCCTTTTGCTCATATTCTTGTCTCCACTGTGTCCAGACTGCAGCACAGCTCTGAGTCAGATCAAGTCCCTGAAGATTGTGAAGAAGGCCGGAGACACTTATGGTTCCTGGTTCAAGGATCCATCAGAACGATCTGCTAAGGTCTGGTCTGGTCTTTGTAACGTTGAAGAGATGATATATGATGTTTACAGTCGGCAGCTGTTTTTCTTTTTAGGCAGAGCAGTGTGTTTATGCTGAGTGTGAGTGTGCGACCACTGATGGACGATCAGTGACTTCCTGCTCGTAACGACTTTTAGTTTGCTGGCTGCCGTATGATGGGTAGTTGAGTGAAATGCAAAAGTAGTTCATAAGAATGAGTGTGTGATTGTACTGTATTCTTTTTATTTTGGCTCCTAAAATACTAATTTAGCTTCATCTTTGCTGAATTGTTAATTCAGCAACTGGTTATTAACATGTAAGTCTAATGAAGGTTGGTGTACTATGTGCTCTGCTGCCCTCTGGTGGCCAATATTTAAGTAATAGTGCTTTAAAGTTACAGTATATTGAAATGTAAATGATGGTGTTATTCTGATGATCGTATCATTTTGGCTCAATCAAGGAAACTCAACCCATTACAAATGAAAAACACTGAACTCCACAAATTAACAATATCCTAATATTTTAACCAAGAGTGGAAACTAATGAGCGCCACAGTTCTCACTCAGCTGGTCGCACGTGTGAATCCTCCAGGTCTACCTGCTCAGTGGAATTCGTAACAACACGCTGCTGGAATACGTTTCCCTGCAAAGCTTCAGTGAGAGAACCACCTCCTCCTCAGCCAAGGTGGTGCAGCTGCCCTTCCACTGGCAGGGGACGGGTCATGTGGTCTACAACGGATTCCTCTACTACCACAAGGCAGATACACCCAACCAGATTCTGAAGGTGAGTGAAGGAACAAGGAGTCAAAGCCTGATACTCCCATTAATACATTTCATCTCCGCTGTGTTTCTATCAACAGATATTTACTTGTCACGCTGAGGGTTCACATTCCTGGCATCAGCTTCAGAGAGAAGTTAATGATCATGCTGACTTCAGTCCTCAGATGTGAAGCAGGCGATTTGCTTTCATTTGTAGACTGACCTCACATCGCTTCAAGGGTCTGAGTCATTGGGGAGCTGAGTTTAGTTCCATTTCCGTTGCTGCTCCGTGTTGGTTGAGGTCAGAAAGCTGATGATGCCAAAATCAACAGTTGTGTTCCAGTGAACTGAGCTCACGTTCCTCAAAAGTTTTCTGGAGCAGATGTAACTGCTTCAGAAAGTATACTGGAAGATTGTTTGTTTAAAAAAACTTGCTGAATGTTGCCACACCCACATAGTCTCACCGGAGCATTTTTTGTGACCATTGCATCATAGGAGGTGAAGAGTGCAAGCAACTCAGCAAACTATCCGAAAAGAATGTTTTAACACTGCAAACGAACCACACCCCCTCTTTTGGTCGGACTCCGGACTGTGGTCTGAGGCACCTTTTCACCTTTCAACTGTTATTTTGATTCAGACTAAACTAAATAGTCTACAGGACCAAACAAGGTAGATGTGAGATGCCATTGAAAGATATCGGACATAACTGATATTGATCAGTATTAATTGGTCTATTTACATTTGTGTCCATTACATAAAGGTGGAACTGTTGAACCGTACAGTGGTGGACAGCACTCTCCTCCCGGGAGCAGGTCGACTCCCAGTCTACAGTCTGAACCCCGACACTTATCTGGACCTGGCTGTGGATGAACTCGGCCTGTGGGTCATCCACGCTGACCCTGAGTATGGAGGAAACCTGGTCATTACCAAACTGGATAAAGGTAGAGATAAACCCCACGAGTCTACATGCATCAATAACTAATCTGGTCTATAATCAACTTTATTTTCTTCACCCATAGTGAGTTTGGCAGTTGAATACACGTGGGACACACAGTGCAGAAGTCGTGATGCTGAAGGAGCGTTCGTGATATGTGGGACCATGTACGTCGTCTACAACACACGCTACGGAGGACGCTCCACCATCCAGTGTCTCTACGACATCCATGACACCATCCACAGGTTGGTCTCTACCATTGACGGCATGACAGTCTCTAGAAGTGAGGCCAAATCATCTCAATCGCCCCCTGTTGGCTGGCTGTATTTGATGCTATAAAAATGGGAGGAAACATCATGATTGACAGCTGGGACTGACTCGTGATTGGCTGAGCCAGTGAGTCGGTGGGACCTTAATTAGACCTCAAAAGACGTCAAAAGTGCAAGATGGCAGCATTCGAATTCAGGATATTTTGGTTTACGTTGTGCACAATGGAGGAAGTGGAGACACGTCGTCAGTCTTTATTTACAGTCGTACACATTGACCTCACTCAGACCCACAAACACCCTGCAAAGACATTTAGCAACAGATTTCTAAAATGTGTGATTTCTTTCCCAACTTAAACCCCTTTTACCTAATTACTCCTCCCTTCTGTTCCACGCGTCCGCAGCGATGAGAGTCCTGTGATGTTCTTCCCGAAGCGCTACACCAGCCACAGCAGCATCCACTACCACCCCGGAGACAAACAGCTGTACGCCTGGGACGATGGCTACCAGACGATATACAAAGTGGAGACACGCAGGAACGACCAGGCCGCTGCAGAATGAGGAGAAAACAAAACACCTGAGTCATCACTTCACTCTTAAAAGCTTCAGTTTAGAAAAAAAATAATTGTTGTGAGTTTATAATCTGCTGTTTTCAGTATAGTGATCCTTTGCTGGCAATGGATGATGCCTTCATCACTGTTAACGATTGTGTCCAACCAACTGCATTTTATACATAGACTTTATACTTTATACTGTANCACACACACACACACACACACACACACACACACACACACACACACACTATTCATTTTGAACGCACCTCCGTCTCTCCATTGCTCGCTGACATACCTTCTGCACACTAATTCACACCCACCTACGTCTTTTCACACCTGCGACACAATAGTGTGCTAATGGTGCCAACAAAGGCTATGCCCGTACATGCACACACACTCACACACACTCTCACACACTGGCGGATGCTGAGCACTAACCTAACTATTGAGCCAAATACACACATGGTCTCTTCCTAACTGGTCCCAGGAGGATATGGGTGTCACAGGAAGGTCATATCTATCCACACAGCCATTGATTGGAGCTGATACACTGAATGGCCTCTAATGTTTCATTTTAAATGGAACATCATCTCAGTGGACTCTGGGAAACAGGAACGAGTCACCAAACCGATTTAATGATTTTGTTCTGTTCTCTTAAAAGAGATAATAATGACATCTACTTTTAGAGAAACCCATGCTTTCTCCTCTCTCTTCTAAATTAAGAAGGCATTCATCACTCAGTGGCGAGCTGTGATCAAGAATTCAGAAATAATGACTCTTTCATATTCAACAGGTGCAAACTGTTGCATAGTAACAGAGGTGAGACTACCTGTTGGATTGCTGAGATTTGACTTCTTGCTGCTATCTTTAGATTGAGGAGAGCTTTTTGAGTAAAGTAGGCGTGAGATATTAAGAAATGAAGAAGAAAAAAGAGGAAACTCAACAGGAATCTGTCTTAGCTCAGGTAAAAATTGGTTTTGCCATCTGTCATCTGCAGGCATCACTGTCTGTCTGGAACGTTGTTGGTTTGAAGGGATGTCTTGGCACAAAATAGAAGGATACATAATTGTGACTAAATGTGTTGCGGAGCTAAAAATTTGATCAAAGTAAGAACTTAATCAGATCAGTTCCGACTCCTAAAAGGTAAATTTTTAAACATAGATTAAATACACGAGAGCACAGTAACATCCCATCTCAAATACTGTCTGAAACACATGAGAAAACTTAGCTTATCCAAAATCAGTTTGTAATGCATTGCAATATTAAAAAGTTAAGAGACCTCTCTAGTATGTTTTCGTCAATGC